GTCGCACAGGCGGAATGATTTTAAAACGCAAATTTCATCAGGAAGACGGTTATCAAAGGCAAGTATACCTAACATGAGGTAGAATAAAGCCGATTTTAAGTCTACAGTTGAAAGCAGTGGCAACAGCACAGCTGCAGTGCGAACAAAAAGGAACCCCAAATTTCGCGCACCTCAATCAGAGCTGTAGCTTCGATTATCGTAATTTACTTTTGCAAATAATGTGTTTCACGCCGAACATTAAACCATTATGTGCTCCACTGTAACATCTCCGGGGCATCTCACTCAAGTCAGTACAAAACAGACCAATTCCAATCACTCTAACGCTGCTTTAATTAACTCCCATGCTCTTTTAACACCTAACATCCTTACAGACAAATTCACCGGATATTTCACTCCCCCTCCCGTCCCCCCTCCTTCCTCCCCCGCAATTTTGGCACTCTTTCAAAGCAAGCAAGAATGATTTTCTGCTACCTCACCCACCCAGTCCGTCTCCCTTTCTCCTTCTTCAAAACAGCTGGCTAAAAATGATGCTTCATGGAATAGTATCAGAAAGAAAAAAATTAGGGTTAGCATCGTCGGCGAATACGCATATGCATTTCCAGGATTTCTGCAAACACTTCACGTTTCAGGAGGTTATAAGCTGTCATCAAAACCTTCTTACTCATTTGATCAAATACCTCATAATTCGACCAGAACAAATTATGTCCCAGTTCCAATCCCATTCCATAATCCTTTTCGTCGTTGGCAAACTGAAAAAAATTACAGGAGTTAAGCAAAATAAATTATACAACCCCGCACTTTTGTATGCTCATTTGCTAGGAAAGATGGAACACTTGTCTGTTGCTTGAAGGACCAGTTTTCCGCCACCAGGGACCCATCTACATACAAAGATAGCCTGGCAAGCCAGTCGACATTAATTTTCGAATACTCAGTAAACAAAAAGCAGTATGAAATTGTGAAAAAAAAAAAAAAAACAAAACAAAACAATGCGCCCTAACGGCTAATTTTAGCTTCAAAAAATTCAGGACAAAAACTATCAACAATGTAAAAAATACTGTTGGCGGAAAAGTACTGTGCTGCACAGCCTGTCCG